CTGACTCTGATGTAGACCGTACAGAGACAGTAACACTACGTCACAGCAGCCAGTTGTGTCTCCAGCATTTACTTACTGACTCTGATGTAGACCGTACAGAGACAGTAACACTACGTCACAGCAGCCAGTTGTGTCTCCAGCATTTACTTACTGACTCTGATGTAGACCGTACAGAGACAGTAACACTACGTCACAGCAGCCAGTTGTGTCTCCAGCATTTACTTACTGACTCTGATGTAGACCGTACAGAGACAGTAACACTACGTCACAGCAGCCAGTTGTGTCTCCAGCATTTACTTACTGACTCTGATGTAGACCGTACAGAGACAGTAACACTACGTCACAGCAGCCAGTTGTGTCTCCAGCATTTACTTACTGACTCTGATGTAGACCGTACAGAGACAGTAACACTACGTCACAGCAGTCAGTTGTGTCTCCAGCATTTACTTACTGACTCTGATGTAGACCGTACAGAGACAGTAACACTACGTCACAGCAGCCAGTTGCGTCTCCAGCATTTACTTACTGACTGATGTAGACCGTACAGAGACAGTAACACTACGTCACAGCAGCCAGTTGCGTCTCCAGCATTTACTTACTGACTGATGTAGACCGTACAGAGACAGTAACACTACGTCACAGCAGCCAGTTGTGAAAAAACAAGATGAACTAGTCAGATTTTGACAAGTGATGTGCTAGTTCAACTGAATGACTTCTTTGATATATGATTAACATTTTGTGATGAAAGACCCAACTCTATTACTATTTTGATGCATGATTTAGCTTTTGATTTGAATGTAGGAGTTTGTGGTGATTGAGTTGTCACAGTATTCAGTATACTTTAATAGTTAAATAAAAATTCTACTTTATCTTGATGTGCAACTTGTAAAACATTTTTATTATAGCGTCAATAAATGCTTTACACTGAACTTTTGTGGTCTTGACGGCATTTCAGTCATTTCACGTAATGCCTGACCATGATTGTTAGTCATTTCATGTAATGACTGGACTTTTCAGTCAGTCAGAGAGAGAGAGAGAGAGAGAGAGAGAGAGAGAGAGAGAGAGAGAGAGAGAGAGAGAGAGAGAGAGAGAGAGAGGGAGGGAGAAAGAGAGAATGTTTATTAAAGTGTCACGTGCTTTTGCAATAAAATACATTACACTACATACATACATTAAACACAAAAAGCACCCGGCCATTTGGCCTATGAGACACTAAAATCATAAGCATTATCACAGTAATACAATAAAATAAGAGAATACAAATAAAACACACCACTGCATACATTCCAGATTAATAACATGATGTTTTAATCACACAAAAGTTATAAGTGCACTTCACCATATTGGCGGAAACGTGCACACTCACACGCACACTCACACGCAAATACGCAATTATGCACTCACTCAACCCCTCACGCAATCCTGCATTCACACACATCGTACAATCACGCACTCACATACACAATCACAGGCTTACGCTATGTCATTCTCGCACAAACATGTACACGTACATACGCAATAACGTACTCACGCGCACATACATACATACATACATACATACATACATACATACATACATACATACATACATACATACATACATACATACATACATACATACATACATACATACATACATACATTGACACACACACACATACATACATACACAGGTGCACACATACATACATACACAGGTACACACATACATACACAGGTACACACATATTTACATATACAGGTACACACATATATACATATACAGGTACACACATACATACACATACATATACACACATACAGTTCACTGCATACTGCACACACTCTGCTTTTTGCTTTATCACACTCTGCACACCTTCCACACACATATACCCCACATGAACAGACACACAAAACACATGGATATAAGCATATTAAAATACTATATCAAAAGTGAGGTTCTTCTTCTCACCATAAGATGCACCTTGGAAGCAAGTAGAAGGTGGCATTGACGACTTTGCATTACAAAATTATATTTTTCGTTGATTTGTTTCTTCATAAAAGCATGATCTATTTTCAGGGCCAATTTAAAAACGTCGTACATAATATCAGAGTACAGCGGGCACGTGATGGTGAAGTGGGCTTACACGTATTGCCTAGTGCTCACAGGCACTTCACGAAATGACTGATTCATTTAGTCATTACACGAAATGACTGCTTACACATATTGACTGTAACATATATACCCACCCTTGTCTATGTCTGCCAATCAGAAGCTATCTATACACACCCATGTCTATGTCTACCAATCAGAGCTTGCCACATGTACTTTGAGACCTATATTTGTCAGTCGGATATACATGTTTATATCTGTACGTGACTGATGACACACTCGTGTCTACATCTACAGGTAACCCACTACATACACTACGGTGTTCAGTAAATAAAGGCGACAAAATCTTTCCACATTCATAAGAAGTCTCTGCTAAAAGCAGAGTCGATTCTACAGTTGTGACTATATCATGAGTATATATTTGTTTCAGCAACATTACTCATATGATGTTGTTTGTAAACAAATCGGAATTGGACCAGACAATCTAGTGATTGTCACCATGCAATACGATGACAGAGCTTGTGACAATGAATCACTATAAAGTAGTGGTGATCCCAGGTGTTCGCGACAAGGTGAGCGTAACCTGCCCCACCAGTGACATCACATATGCCAAGTCTAGTCAATTGGTCACTGAAATATTTCGGGAACGTATGTTATAAGTCAAAATAGGGATTTGCATCGGACATCGGAAAGCAGTGCGCGGTAGCTGTCCAGAGAAAACAGAGAAAAGACAAGAATAAAAACGGCCGAAGTTAATCTAGCGGAGTTAATGTCGGATCCAGAGTTATTATCGGATCCAGACCATATTAATATTTCATGCAGCTCTAATAGGCTAAGCGTTGACAGCTGCGAAGTGTTCCGGGCAGATATCGATCTGGGCAGACTACGCTCCGTAGACAGCTCCGTGCTGTAATCTTGACAAACTTAGCCCTTGTCAACAGCCTAGTGTAACCAAACGGACATTTCAAGCGCATTACAAGGGCGATTAGAGCTGGGAACAATAGCCATTATCAACTTCGCGGTTTGGGATTGAAAACATACACGCGTGCTTGCACATACACGTGTATATATGGACATAATGTTAAGAAATAGTTACAATTTTCAGACACCCAAATCTATCAGCCAAGAAATGTATGTGCAATCGTTCAACCAAGGTCATTCAACTGTGGCGTCTGACTTCACTAACACTGTTAATACTTGGATACTTAGAACATTAGTGCACATACACTGCCATCACAACCTTGATTTATATTCAGCTGTCAAGAGTCTGTCCGATACTGCACTGCCGACTACGACTTGGTTGCAGCGACTTGTAGGCTCATGAATATGGACGACATATTTAACTACCTCTGTTAGTTCTTGTGAAGATCCATGGAACGTTCAAGTACACTGCTTTGTCATGGGTCCTAAATACATTGACTGAAGACTACGGTTGTTTTATTAGCTTAAAGGGTTTCAGGAAAACTCGGATCCTATAGGTAGTAATGGCGAAATATGCACCGTTTATTCAAGTATCCTGAAATCGTTCCGGTTTTGTTTAAATTTCTGAATCAAGAATGGAGAGCTAAGCCATGACGGCTGGTTGACCAGTCCATACTCTTCACGAATAAATATACTACATACACATTAGATTACCATGTCGTCCTACTTGCCCCATCCCACCAGTCCGCTACACCCCACCCCCGGTCCTCTCCATCCTACCCAACCTCCACAGGGAGGTACCGTCAGGCACCCTCACTCACAGCTATCCACTGTGCACCATAGGCTCTCGAGCTTTCAGATTCCAATCAGTATTTCGGGCCTAAGTACAATTGTTACAATTAAATGCACGTAGTGATGGTGACATTTCTTGCATTGAAAACATGTTTTAGATAAATTGCAGTATATTTGATAACATGAATATTCTTAGAATGTTGCAGACTGGACAATATTTGTTTATCTCTTACAGGTGCTGATATATATGATAAATACTTACTTCATAAATCTGAACACTTGGTACACACAAATATTGCTTGAAATTCACTTTCAATATTACCCGTATTACAATGTTTACAACTGGATTCGTTATTATCAAACAAATCTCTTGGCTTTGCGTAAATCATTAATTCTAAAATCATGAAAACCAATTCAAAATGTACACAATGTCAGTATGAAGGAATTTGTTTTGTAGATTCATTACATGAAATTCGGGCTATAACAAAGGTATATGAGAAGAATAGTGTTCTAATAAACTTGAATTATTTATTGACGTAGACCATTCTTGGAAGGAAATGTGTTGAAGACTTTGCTTATTCATTTCAAACCTCTTGTGAAATCTACACAAAAGAAACTCTCTAACATGTGATGGCCAATTAAGCCTACCATTATCACTTGTCACTTTAAGAAAATATAACTTTGCCTAGGGTACCTATAAAGATCCATTTTTATGTCGTTAAACGAGACCCAGAAACATCCGTTCTCTTCCTACGAGCCCCCAAACCAAACAGGCCATTAAACCCAGCACCACATCGTTTGTTTGTCTTCAGTGGAAAGGATTACTGTACCTGTAGTTCTGTACTGTACACTGTCCTTCTATGATTCTTATACAGTTAAACCTCGTTACATTTGCCCCCGTTAATACAGACATCCCGCTTTGCGGACCATGGTGTTGAGAGTGTATCTGTCTCGACAGTATTTCATATTTATGATTCGTTAATTCGAACGTTTGTTAATCCGAACTTATTTCCGGCACTACCTAGGCCTGATAGACATCGTTGCCTCACTGGCAAATAAAGTGATGTTCGAGTAGTTTGACCTCATCCAATATCTGAGAAATAAGCTTGTAGACTGTAAAAAGGACAGACTGTAAAAAAGCCCATAGTCATTTTACCAAGACAATTGATATACAATATGAAGGAATTATACTTACTTTACAAACAGATTGTAAGGAAATGTCTTGTGTTCTTCAGAGGAGCTTGCTTGTATATCCGTGACTCTCCACCAGCTTCAAGACTTCCACACCTGTCAGGTATAACTAATTGCCCCTCGCTTCGCCGGGGTCTGCTCAGCACGGGTTAGGGTGGTTATTTCTCTATAACTCACTCATCCTTCACACCACGTGTGTTAACACATGTCCCACGGGCCAGGCTACAGCTCCGTGGGGGACAGTCACTTGGCAGATTAATTACCGGACAAAGAGTAGCTGTAGCGGTAACGCCTCACACGCTCTTGCCCACAGCTTAGAAACGTAATCCACGACGTGCAGGAGTTATGTCCCTTGTGTTTAGATTATCTTTGACAACATTCAGGGTACGTTAATGAAATTCAGTCGAATGTTGTCTGTTACCACAGCTTGTGTGTAACAATCTGATACTTGACGATTACCGGGATTACCGATGGTCAGTTTCAAATGTAGAACCGTTTTATAGTCTCTACCTGGATACGAGTGAGTGAGGGAATCCCTGAACACCAACTTGAAGTAAATATCACACGTATTACATATATATTAGGGACACTTTATTATGTGTTAGGAGCTCAAACATAGACAGGAGAAATACACACATACCCATGTTGATATCACGTATGTTGTACTGATTTGATCGCGTGTAGTTTCACACGAAATTGATGACATGACTAACTTCCACTGAGTGAGTGAGTTGCTTCCAACAGTTTTCCGCAAGACAGCTTCATACATTGTAGCCATGTAGGAAATGGAGCTCCGACCTTGAGTGTGACGATCGAACGCCTATACCACTGGGCCACCACCGACGAGGGTCTGGGAACCACGTTCGTTAATCGTGACGCAGTCTGTGGCACACACCTGTAGGTCATTCCGATACTGAGTAACCCTTGTTATCTCAGCAGACTAGCTCGTTCACTGAGGTTATTCTGCGGTAGGTGCTGTGTTAGTAATGGGCTGAAAAAGCTGATGAAACGGGATTCATCGATTAGGTTTCCAGACATGTCCATAATTACGACAATCTTCCTGTATACGTCAGTCTGTTAACGGTAATCTGTCTGACGGCCCGACTGCACAGAGCGGGCATTACATGGCTCGTCAACTAAACGCACAAAACAGACAAGTGGCGTTCAACATATCTAGTAAAATATTGATATCTGAAGACTGGGACACTCTTTAGTCTCCCTTTCATGTTCGTAACAACACCGAATCTCTAACTGATTGATTGAACAATAGTATACTCCAGTTAATCCGGATTCCTACAAATATGTGACTGTATGTCGCCACAGTAAACCCCTGTTTATCCGGATACCCTGTATAACGTGATGTGACTGTATGTCGCCACTGTAAACCTGTTAATCCGGATACCCTGTATAACGTGATGTGACTATGTCGCCACAGTAAACCCCTGTTAATCCGGATTCCCTGTATTACGTGATGGGACTGTATGTCGCCACAGTAAACCCCTGTTAATCCGGATTCCCTGTATTACGTGATGGGACTGTATGTCGCCACAGTAAACCCCTGTTATTCCGGATACCCTGTATAAGGTGATGGGACTGTATGTCGCCACTGTAAACCCCTGTTATTCCGGATTCCCTGTATAACGTGATGTGACTGTATGTCGCCACTGTAAACCCCTGTTAATCCGGATTCCCTGTATAACGTGTTATGTGACTGAATGTCGCCACAGTAAACCCCTGTTAATCCGGATTCCCTGTATAACGTGATGTGACTGTATGTCGCCACTGTAAACTCCTGTTAATCCGGATTCCCTGTATAACGTGTTATGTGACTGAATGTCGCCACAGTAAACCCCTGTTAATCCGGATTCCCTGTATAACGTGATGTGACTGTATGTCGCCACAGTAAACCCCTGTTAATCCGGATTCCTGTATAAGGTGATGTGACTGTATGTCGCCACTGTAAACCCCTGTTAATCCGGATTCCCTGTATAACGTGTTATGAGACTGAATGTCGCCACAGTAAACCCCTGTTAATCCGGATTCCCTGTATAACGTGATGTGACTGTATGTCGCCACTGTAAACCCCTGTTAATCCGGATTCCCTGTATAACGTGATGTGACTGAATGTCGCCACTGTAAACCCCTGTTAATCCGGATTCCCTGTATAACGTGATGTGACTGTATGTCGCCACTGTAAACCCCCCTGTTAATCCGGATTCCTGTATAACGTGTGTGATGTGACTGTATGTCGCCACTGTATGTCGTAAACCCCTGTTAATCCGGATTCCCTGTATAACGTGTTATGTGACTGAATGTCGCCACAGTAAACCCCTGTTAATCCGGATACCCTGTATAACGTGATGTGACTGTATGTCGCCACAGTAAACCCCTGTTAATCCGGATACCCTGTATAACGTGATGTGACTGTATGTCGCCACAGTAAACCCCTGTTAATCCGGATTCCCTGTATTACGTGATGGGACTGTATGTCGCCACAGTAAACCCCTGTTAATCCGGATTCCCACTGTATAACCCCTGTTATGGATTCCCTGTATAACGTGTTATGGGACTGTATGTCGCCACAGTAAACCCCTGTTATTCCGGATACCCTGTATAAGGTGATGGGACTGTATGTCGCCACTGTAAACCCCTGTTAATCAGGATTCCCTGTATAACGTGTGATGTGACTGAATGTCGCCATTGTAAACCCCTGTTAATCCGGATTCCCTGTATAACGTGATGTGACTGGAAGTTGCCACAGTAACACTTGGGATTATGCAGCATTCAGGTCAAAAGAGTTGTGAAGGACGTATTTTCACTGTAGAGTCCCGACAACCCGGAAGTGAATCTTCCTGCTCATTGGACCAGTGATAAGACGATGGTTGGGATTTCATTAACCTTCCTTCACACTGTTAGGAATTGGGAACAGGTTAGAATTTGTCCCCAGCAAACAATACTTGTGTGTAGATGCGACCTTATCGACGTGGCTGACTGCGTGGTATCCTACCCAGATAATTTTCCTACTCGATCAAGCTGCCAGGTCGGGAGTGCTAAAGTGAGGCACTGAACCCGACTCACTCACTCACTCACGCATAGGACAGACAAAAATGACGCATTTTTTTTATTATATGGGTATTTATATAGCGCTATAGTCCATCCCACAAGCATGCTCAAAGCGCGCCTTTGTTTTTGCCTCAATCATTGGATGTCAATCTCAGCGGCACTTCATATTTTCAGTGTCAACTCCCTGGGGTACATACAACTCTTGCAGCCACTAGGCGCACCGAGTTAATGTGACTTTCTCATCCTGTCGAGGTACCCATTCACAGCTGGGTGGACTAGGCTGCATAGTAACAGTACAGTGCTTTGTCCAAGTTTGCTGCACGTTGCTGTACCCGCAACTATTCCCAGAACCTTCACCAGCCCTTGCACGTTGTGAGACAAGGTAACTGAAGTAGGTTAATGCATGTCCCAGCTAGGTGGATTGATGCTCGTGATGTCAGTCACCGGATTTTTGGGGGACCTATTGGATCGGGTGGTGAGGTTCGGTGACCTGGCTGATAACGCTTCTTGGTCCCCCCAACGCTTGGAACGCTGCTCATGATGTGAGTCACGGGTTTGTCTGGTCCACAGTTATTCACAGCAATGTTTATACAGTATTGCTGAGTGCGGCTTTAACGAAGCAATAACAACACCAAATACGTGACATCATGGCCAACAACGTGTTGTTTGGTATCGCTCGCTGTTTCCGTGTTACCCTGCACTAGGTCAGTGACTGGTATGTGTGGTGGTAGAAACAGTCAGACTGTGCATACCACACGGTAGGACTAAAGTACACAGATAACAACAACCAGTGTGTTCATACACATGTAAATGAACGTCACGTGATCCAGTTCAATGATTAATAATGACACGTGTTGCTCTGACAATAGATCTCGTGTAATCTGTCAGAAACACACGTAAACTACTCCGAATGAGGTTCCTTAATCGCGAACACATACACCTATCATGACATCAGCTACTGTAGACGTACCATGATCCATCAGATCATGCTTAATCGGAGAGAGAGAGAGAGAGAGAGAGAGAGAGAGAGAGAGAGAGAGAGAGAGAGAGAGAGAGAGAGAGAGAGAGAGAGAGACAGAGAGTAAGAGAGAGAGAGAGAGAGAGAGAGAGAGAGAGAGAGAGAGAGAGAGAGAGAGAGAGAGAGAGAGAATCACATAAGTAACATTGTGATAAATCAAACTCTTCTTCATCTACAAAACAAAACTCATGACAGTTAATACTTACTCTGGCTTCAACATATCTGCCTGCTACAGCTTCAGCTTTTCTTTTCTACTACAAGTTAGTGACCTGCTTCAGACACTTCCTGAAACACTGACACAGGCGTTCGCCACGCCAGTATAATCCGGGAAGTTTTCATGAAGTGAGACTTTGGTATGTCAAAGACAAGTATATGTATGGCCGGGTTGCTGACTTTTACAATAATAGCTCCTCGTGTTAGTTTATCGTTTACTGCTGCAGTCACCATTATTCCAGGTTGTGTTCTGTAAACATCGAGCAACGTTAGAATCCGTCAATATAATAATACAGCTGGAAGCTGCACGTGGGATGCTGGAGGAATGACATTTATAGTCATATGGAGTGAGTGGAGTTTTATGTCGCCAGAGCACTGTTCCAACAATACCACAGTGGGGCACCAGAAATGGGCGTCATGCAACGTCTCTTGTCACTCACTGGCCACCTTGAACACGATTCCACGTTTACGACGGAGCATCAGCTTGGGAGGAAAACCCGGAATGATGTAGACGTCAGACATTTACAAGTTCGGTAAACCCATGAAGGCGGGCAGGGTGCTCAAAAACCTACAAACATAATCCGGGAAACCTGGATTCGAACCCACGTGCGAGCCCCAGGGCTGCACCTCCCTCGCCTACCCTTCTACCGTTCCCATATCCCAGTTAACATCTAGTGTCAGCGGGTCACGCTGACCTACACGTCGTGGTATGATGGAGAACAGCATCTAGAATGTCATTGGGTCACGCTGACCTACACGTCGTGGTATGATGGAGAGAACAGCATCTAGAATGTCAGTGGGTCACACTGACCTACACGTCGTGGTATGATTCGGCATCTATACTATGAACAGCATCTAGTATCATCTCAGGGACGGATACAGCTTTTTGAGAAAGGGGTGACACACAATT